TTCTCAACTTTGATGTAACGTGCAATTCTTCAATGATTGAAAACAAAGCAAGTTACTTATAAGGATATTGTAATATTTGGGTATATATAAAATTAACAGAAACGGATCTCACTACTTGCACTAGTACTACTAGTACTACTAAAAATGCTTGTTCATGCTATACTCACATTCACAGTAAGACCCACTGCCCACGTAACCGTTGTTGCAGTGACATCCTTGAATTCCATTCTGGATCCCACAGAAAGCGTTTTCGTCACACGTCACCTCCGTGCACTGGATGTTGTTCTTACTGATGCACTGGCAGCGGCGTTACATCCTTCTCCCATGTTTCTCCAACCTTACGGGAAAAATATTAAACAACACATTTACAACACTTAGTAAATTTAGAATACTACAGGTACAGTAATTGACTTGTAAACTTCTAAAGCAATGGCCTTTGTTTTAACAAGAAGTCATGTCCTTACTGCATAGTAGTATCCACCACGAGTGCAGCCACACTGTTGCCTGGTCACACAGTCCCCTCCACTGAGGACGTAGCCGTCATCACACTCGCACGCCTCCACACACATGCGGTCACAGTACTGAGGTGCAGACTCGTCTGTACAGGTGGCAGGACAGGCGCTGGCACAGGAGCTGTAGTGACTGTTGCTGGGGCAGGAGAGTGCTGCGAAGGAAATTTCAGGTGAGACAATGACTGAGGATGCTGAACACAATGAAGTTTTTCAGTAATATTGTTGTTCAGTTATATTGTAAGTTCTGTGGTGACCCCAATGGCCCCCCAATCATTGTTTATTTTGTTCTGTAAAATGTAGTTAGCTAGACACCTCGTTTTTGTGAAGGTATTGAATGCATGGGTGCCTGAGAATATGGCTAAATCCTATACACAAAAGCCAAACTTACGACAGAAGGTGCCATTCCTCCATGTCCCGATGTTGATGCCAGCCTCAGCACAGGAGTCGGCGTAGGCCTGCAGGTTGTTACACAGGGACGTCATGTCTCCGTCTAAGGCACACATGTCATACACGCAGGTCTCAACAGTGACCTGCAGGGTAAAAGAATGCATCCAAAGTTAAAACATTTGTTATGTATTGTAGGTTAGATAGTTCTATACCTGTTATGTATTGTAGGTTTGATAGTTCCATACCCAATGCTCTACGAGTGGTAGGGCCCATTGAGGGGCAGCTGGTTTGAGTTAAGAAGAGGAGACTCGGGCATTCTGAGCAAGGCAGCCCTGGTGCTAGGGTGGACAGAATAAAACGTTCCTGAGTTGAGATCAAGCAGAGTCCGACTGATTCTTTGGTTTAAGTACGGATCGTTAAAACATTGTAAAACAGTAGGAATGATGACGAAACGCAAAGCATCCTAAACATAATACACGTAAGCAGATGGTATTCAGCACCAGGGACAGGTCTAATTATAGATGTGTGGACAGCACCACGGACAGGCTTGTTTATATTTCATACACTAGATTCGAAAAGATACAGGCTTGTATGTGTCCGTACCTCTGGATTGAGGGCTGAGTAGCAGGGAGCGAACACGCTGCTTGGGTCGTTCAGAACACCGCACAGTTCCGATACAGTCCGCTGGAGGGCGTCGCCGCACTGCGCGGGGGGTTCTGGGTTCTCGTTACACCTGCAAGAATTCAACATATGAAAGTTACATATGGACAAAATGTTCTTAATTCTTCGTCACGGACAGGTTTCCGAAGTAAATTTATAAAGCGCAGAAAATAATAGAGCAGTCATTGCGGACTGCAAAATCACTTACTGGTCGCCTTCCCTCTCAACCCGCCAACTGTTGCCGAATTGCATGACGTCAGCAGCCTGCGTGCCATCCTTTGTCACGTATTCGTCACTGACGTCCCCGTTGTAGTTCCCACACAGTCCGCAGAGGGCGCCGCTGTACAGGTCGGGCAGGACGACCTCAGCGCGATGCCTCCCGTCAAACGACACCTTCAGCCCAAAGCCTGTCTCTATGGTAACGTACTGACCGACGAACTCGACTGTTAGACCAGCCCGTGGTTTGGCAGGCAGAGTTCTGATCAGCTGGTCAATCTGGGAAGAAGGAATCGCACGTTTCTCCGTAAATCAAAACCAAAATACTGCCATGCGCACAGTACGTGTTGACGTCAGGATGCGTCTGTTCCTTTCTGAACAATGAAATGAAGAATCGCGCTAATGTTGCTAGTCTAGCGCCTGACCCAGGAATGCAGTAATTGGAAGTCAAGGAACAAAACATATTGTGTGTATCCGGTATACTTACATAGACAATCTTGTTCTTCTCCACCACAATTGTGTGGTTGTAGACCTCCACTGTGACGTCTGTGACGTAGCTGACGCGCAGGTTGCCGCCGCGGTTTTCGTTTCTGGTCTCGACGTTGAAGTAAGGCAGCGTGTTGTTCCCACAGTTCCGTGTCAGTGTGTACGTGCAGGCGCCCTGGAAGTGGTGCGTGCGCCCGTCGAAGGTGATGTAATGGGGGTCTCCATAGGCAACACACGTGCTCCTGGCTGTATGCATCAAAGACAATTGAAAAAGCAAGAAAACAGGAACAATAAGCAAAAAGAACTGACAATAATGCAGAGAACTCGTTCATCTCGATCAGTTTCGCTTGTTTGGGGAGGACGGTTTACATGACACTTCCCGTGACTAACAGTAATAGCACAAAACAGAAAATAAGTTCAATGTGTAAAAAAACAACATCAATTTTCTGTGGAATCATGAAATCATTTTCTTTAATAGTATAGGATTCTTTTTTCAGACAATGTGACAGACAACAGTGTGCGTGCCCTACCTGTACAACTCTGGCCATCTCCAGCAAAACCATCCTGGCAGGTACAGGTGTAACTTCCCTCTGTGTTCGAGCAGATCGCGTTGGCATGGCAACTGTGTGATACCTGCAGGCATTCATTTACATCTGTAACAAAATGAAATGCTGTCAGATATGCAATAACATTATAATGCAAGAAGTTAGATCACCGCTGTTAGGTTAAGAACTTGTCCCTGTGCAATGATATTCAGAGTTTCTGATAGCCACTACAGCACAACTAACCAGAAACATGATTTTTAGAATTCCTTGCGTGTGAATGGTGATGAAATTTTAAAGGAAAGTTGTCCCGGTATGGAAGACTTACCTTCATCACAGTTGGTGCCGGTCCATCCTGCAGCACAGGTACACAGGTATCCACCACTGTTGTCATTGGTACAGGCACCATTGTGACAGGGGCTGCTCTCACAGGCATCCACAACTGTAGGCAAAGGAGAATCAGTTTTATGAAATGAACAGCCTTTCCTCTATTAGTATATCCTTTCTCAACTTTGATGTAACGTGTAATTCTTTGATTGAAAACAAAGCAGGTTACCTATAAGGATATTGTAATATTTCGGTATATATGTATATTAACAGAAACGGATCTCACTACTTGCACTAGTACTACTAGTACTACTAAAAATGCTTGTTCATGATATACTCACATTCACAGTAAGACCCATTGCCCACGTAACCGTTGTTGCAGTGACATCCTTGAATTCCATTCTGGATCCCACAGAAAGCGTTTTCGTCACACGTAACCTCCGTGCACTGGATGTTGTTCTTACTTATGCACTGGCAGCGGCGGTTACATCCTGCTCCCCATGTTTCTCCAACCTTTGGAAAAATTATTAAACAACACATTTAGAACGTACGTACAGCACTTAATAAATTTAGAATAGTACACTCAGGTACAAAAATTGACTTGTAAAATTCTGGAGTAACGGCCTTCGTTTTAACAAGAAGTCATGTACTTACTGCATAGTAGTATCCACCACGAGTACAGCCACACTGTTGCCTGGTCACACAGTCCCCTCCACTGAGGACGTAGCCGTCATCACACTCGCACGCCTCCACACACATGCGGTCACAGTACTGAGGTGCAGACTCGTCTGTACATGTGGCAGGACAGGCGCTGGCACAGGAGCTGTAGTGACTATTGCTGGGGCAGGAGAGTGCTGTGAAGAAAATTTCAGGTGAGACAATGACTGAGGATGCTGAACACAATAAAGTTTTTCAGTTATATTGTTTTTCAGTTATATTGTAAGTTCTGTGGTGACCCCAATCTTTGTTCATTTTGTTCTTCTGTAAAATGTAGTTATTAGCTGGACACCTCCTTTTTGTGAAGGTATTGAATACATGGGTGCATGAGAATATGGCTAAATCCTATACACAAAAGCCAAACTTACGACAGAAGGTTGCATTCCTCCATGTCCCGATGTTGATGCCAGCCTCAGCGCAGGAGTCGGCGTAGGCCTGAAGGTTGTCACACAGAGACGTGATGTCTCCGTCCAGGGCACACATGTCATACACGCAGGTCTCAACAGTGACCTGCAGGGGAAAAGAATGCATCCAAAGTTAAAATATTGTAAAACAGTAGGAATGATGACGAAACGCAAAGCATCCTAAACATAATACACGTAAGCACGAATACAGATGGTATTCAGCACCAGGGACAGGTCTAGTCATAGATGTGTGGACAGAACCAAGGACAGGCTTGTTCATTTTTCATACACTAGATTCGAAAAGATACAGGCTTGTATGTGTCCTTACCTCTGGATTGAGGGCTGAGTAGCAGGGAGCGAACACGCTGCTTGGATCGTTCAGAATTCCGCACAGTTCCGATACAGTCCGCTGGAGGGCGTCGCCGCACTGCGCGGGGGGTTCTGGGTTCTCGTTACACCTGCAAGAATTCAACATATGAAAGTTACATATGGACAAAATGTTCTTAATTCTTCGTCGCCGACAGGTTTCCGAAGTAAAGCGCAGAAAATAATAGAGCAGTCATTGCGGACTGCAAAATCACTTACTGGTCGCCTTCCCTCTCAACCCGCCAACTGTTGCCGAATTGCATGACGTCAGCAGCCTGCGTGCCATCCTTTGTCACGTATTCGTCACTGACGTCCCCGTTGTAGTTCCCACACAGTCCGCAGAGGGCGCCGCTGTACAGGTCGGGCAGGACGACCTCAGCGCGATGCCTCCCGTCAAACGACACCTTCAGCCCAAAGCCTGTCTCTATGGTAACGTACTGACCGACGAACTCGACTGTTAGACCAGCCCGTGGTTTGGCAGGCAGAGTTGTGATCAGCTGGTCAATCTGGGAAGAAGGAATCACACGTTTCGCCGTAAATTAAAGCCAAAATACTGCCATGCGCACAGTACGTGTTGACGTCAGCATGCGTCTCTGTTCCTTTCTGAACAATGAAATGAAGAATCGCGCTAATGTTGCTAGTCTAGCGCCTGACCCAGGAATGCAGTAATTGGAAGTCAAAGAACAAAACATATTGTGTGTATCTGGTATACTTACGTAGACAATCTTGTTCTTCTCCACCACAATTGTGTGGTTGTAGACCTCCACCGTGACGTCTGTGACGTAGCTGACGCGCAGGTTGCCGCCGCGGTTTTCGTTCCTGGTCTCCACGTTGAAGTAGGGCAGCGTGTTGTTCCCACAGTTTCGTGTCAGTGTGTACGTGCAGGGGCCCTGGAAGTGGTGCGTGCGCCCGTCGAAGGTGATGTAATGGGGGTCTCCATAGGCAACACACGTGCTCCTGGCTGTATGCATCAAAGACAATTGAAAAAGAAAGAAAACAGGAACAATAAGAACTAACAATATATATATAATGCAGAGAACTCGTTCATCTCGATCAGTTTCGCTTGTTTGGGGAGTACGGTTTACATGACACTTCCCGTGACTAACAGTAATAGCACAAAACAGAAAATAACTTCAATGTAATGCTAGCTACTGTCGTCTGTAAGGAAGAAGAGTTACTCACTCCAGCAGGTCTTGCCATCTCCGGTGAATCCAGGTTTACACTCGCACTTGTACGAGCCGTGTGTGTTGACACAGATTGCGTCAAGGTCACAGTCGGCCAATCCCAGTTCACACTCATCCAGGTCATGGTTGACGTCAGCCAAATCTTCGTCAATGAGACCGTCGCCGTCATCATCTCTGGGGATTAGAATGCTTATGTTTATGTTTATGTTTATATAGTACATCCCATCCTAACTTTCGTCATTGGCTGAAGACGGGGTAAAACTCAAGACCATTGCTGTGTCCAATAACCCTGAATGAGCATATTAAAGCTGTACAGGAAGGCATAATGTCCGCAAAGGAAAGGCTTGTTCAGTGATGTTTGTCAATGTTACCGGAAAAGAACACAGAACAAAACATTTGATGATAGAAAACATTAGTATAAAGGTTTAAACTTCAAGTTATCTTACAAAAGCTGTAAAATTAGACAGGTAAAACACATGAAAAGTCTTACATTCCGTTCAGTAGTTCCTCGTCCACCAGTTGGTCACAGTCGTTGTCGACGCCGTCGCCAACCATCGGTTCTGTGACGTCACATCCGCCGGATATGCTGGCCAGTCGGAGACCACCGGGAAAACCCACGGAGTCAAGGTAGGAGAAGCCGTAGTACACCAGGGAGAAGGTGACAATGGCGGATTGGTGCTTGATCTTGTGTGTCCCCGTGGTGCTGATGTGAAGCTGTGTGGCGGACAGGTCGGTGTCCGGGATGGGTGACCAGGTCGTGGAGGAAGGAAGCGGGTTGCCGTCATACGTCAGCCCCGACGTTTGCGACGTCTTGATGACGATGTTGACGTAGCTGGTATAGGCCGTGGACAGCGAGTCGACCGTGGCGAAGGTGTAGTCGGCGGCGAACTGCTCCACCGGCGGCAGGTACATCATGAAAGGATCCGCGTTGATGCCGTCCGAATACGTCCCCTTGCTGTACTGCAGTACCATGATGGGATGCGAGGAGGTGATGGTAGTGTACGTGCTGGACGAAAGGTCCAGCTCCAGGAAGTCGCCTGCGTCCAGAGTATGAGGCGTTAGACCAGTGACGTTGACAGTGGTGCCGTTTCTAGCAGCCACCAGGCGGAAGATGTCGCCGGCTTGTCGCACGGCTAGCGGGACCGTCACGAAGCGCCGTCCCCAGGTGTTGACGGGCGGGACGTGTTCGACCAGGTGATCACGCCATTCGTACTTGTTCGGCACCTTGGTGCATCGTACGCCGGACATGACGGACACCGGCTTGTCCGATACGATGTGGGTACCCGTAAGGTCCGATCCATCACTGCCCTGAAACTGTAGAGCCTCCAGACGGTCTAGCGTGAACGTGATGACGCTCCCGGCATCGTAGTCCCTGCCGTCATGGTACACAGCCCCCTTCAGAGTGACGCTGACCGAGGTGCCGTCTTCAACACCGAAGACGGCGAATTCGGACGGATCGTTCCGAGGCGAAGGAGTGTAGGAAGCCACGAAATACTCATTGCCGAGAACGTCGACAGGTAGACCCAGGAAGCCGTCTGTGGTGTACCTCTGCTTGTTCACACCGTAAAGGATGATTTCGCGGTCGGCGGTGACGAGGACGCCCTTCTGAGCCCGCTCGTGTCCGGTGAGCATGACGGAGCGCGGCAGGGTGACCACCTGCACAGCTGCGTCAGTCACCACCAGCTGCTTGGTGTAGCTGACACCTGGGGCAGTGATGGTGACGGTGGTGGGCTCTGAGCTCGCGCTGGTGATGAACAGCTCCAGTTGGCTGACTCCGTAGTTCTGCAGGAAGCCGACCACAAACTCTGTTCCCCTGTTGTCCGGAGACGTCAGCACTGACAAGAGACAACATCCAACGATCTTATATTTATTATCACACACAAACACACACACACACACAACACACACATACACACACATTAACAAGCAAACGCAGGACGTTTACTATCTCACCTGCCATTCATACTTTTCTTCTGTAGGTTTAAGGTAGACGAATCTATATTTTCTCTTATTGGAGACTGATCCAAGTAGGAGTGTCATAGTCGCCAAGGAACCAATTTCTTAGAGGGTGAGGGATGTTTATAAAAATATTCTGAAGACTTTCATAAATAAGCTAATCGTAAGTGCCATATTCAACATGTTCAGTGGAGTTTGGACGTTCTTACTCCCTACTCTGTTTAGGAAAATAGCATTTATGATAAAGTTTAAAATGGCCCCTGCCCCCCTTTCTCAAGGCATAAAAGTATTTAATCAATATAGCGCCTTACCTACAAGCTGTGATGGCCCTTCAGCATTTGACTTGGTTGGTTTTCACAGAGCTCTGACAAGGGCTAAAAATGGTAAAACTCAACTAGAATACAGGGTTTTATAGTATTTACCGCCCCCACCTTGTACTTTGACCCTGACATGGCTTTAATATGAGATTTGAATATGCCTTACCTTGCTGACACGTTCCAAACACAACGATCAAGACCAAGATGTAAACATGTGCCTCCATGCTGACACTGGATGATGTGATGACAGTTCAGTAGACCGACCTCCACTATCAACCAGAGCTGGTTCAAACTGGGGTTTGTATCCTGTGTTGTAAATTAAAAAGAATGTACTTACCGACATGCCAGAAAAAACAACGAAAAAATTACACTGTACGCTTCTTCGTCTGCTAATTCTCTGTCAAATTGCTGACTTTAGCCTTTGGTTTAAATTTTCCAGGCTTACCGTTTGATTGTCCGTGAATTTTGTTACCACTGGGTGCGTTGTATGTAAGATGTAATCACATCATGATCATCACTACCCTGGGTGCCAGCCAAGTTTACGGGCCGCTAGCCGTTTCTTTCGGCCGCCAGAAGCCCTTCGCCCGCAGACCTAAATTACCGCTGCGGTGGAATTGAGCCCATGGGGAGGTTTCGGCCCTGCCACAGCCAAACTCCCCCCGAGCTAGACTCCCCCGTAGCGCTAATTTACACCAGCGGGCGAAGGGCTCTTGCGGCCCGGAAAACGAGTTCTGGCTTCCAGGTAGATCATCACTTGCCTGTCGAGGGTAAAGAAAACAAGAAGCGTACCAACCTGTATGTCCGGACAGCAACTGTTGAGTGCTGATGAACCACGTTGCCACCTCTGTCTCGACCACTGAAAGCTTGTGAAACAACCCGGACTTTTTATACTTCCTCAGGCCACATGATTTGTCCCTGCATGACTTGTTCTTCCAGGAAATGTAACGTTAGCATATCTATATTCGCAAGGGGATGGCGAGGTCGTCATGTCAGGACTAACTTCCCTTGTGGAAATGTCATTATGCTGGAGTCACAATTCTAAGCCGTGGCCCGACCTGGCTGTTTGAATAAACGAAAAATAAAAAAAAATGCACGTCAAGAATATGGACAAATCGTGTTTATGATTATATATCCTCTAAACGTTTTGTGTGTTTTGTTATCTTTTATTTCAAACATTTCGTTCCCGCAAATGCCCGGTCGATCCCCAGATTGGAAATGTGACTCCAGCATCAGCAACCTTCAGGACGTTTCCTAGTAGCTAGCCGGTTGTCCCAAAGATACAGCGAGCAAGCAATCGTCAGGTCTTTTGGACGTATCTCTGATTTTTTCTCTGAAATCCTCTCAACTTCCTTCTTTTGCGCTGGCAAAGCAAACGATCATATGGAACTTGTTAATGGACTTCCTTCATTTGCGCTGGCAAAGCAAACGATCATATGGATCGAACTTGTCAATGAACTTCCTTCGTTTACGCTGGCAAAGCAAATGATCCCGAGCAATCATCAGCTCTTTTGGACGTTTTCTAGTAGCTAACCCGTATCTTCCTTCTTTTGCCTGAGCTTGCTTTCTCATTGCCCTCGATAGTTTAATGCTCACCCTTGTATGCACGCTCTCACCAACGCTACATTTCATGACCAAACATGGCGACGGCACACTCAAGTTTTATCAACTTATCTATGCCGCCACCAACACAGAGTACAAATACAGGACAGGACAATACTCATTTTCATTTAAGTGAGGAAAGGCGTGCCTTTCCCAAGGGCCAATATCGGTGGCATGAGCACACTGCCTAGAGGCAGCAGACACAACAATATACCAGCCAGTCAGAGATTATGTCCTACATGTACGTGCAAAGATTCTTTAAACGTTTTGTGTGTTTTGTTATCTTTTATTTCAAAAATTTCGTTCCCGCAAATGCCCGGATTGGAAATGTGACTCCAGCATCAGCAACCTTCAGGACGTTTCCTAGTAGCTAGCCGGCTGTCCTAAAGATGAACTTGCGCTGATAAAGCGAGCGCTCATAAGCAATCGTCAGGTCTTTTGGACGTATCTCTGATTTTTTTCTCTGAAATCCTCTCAACTTCCTTCTTTTGCGCTGGCAAAGCAAACGATCATATGGAATCGTCATCATCTTTTGGGCAATGAACTTCCTTCGTTTGCGCTGGCAAAGCAAACGATCATATGGAACTTGTTAATGGACTTCCTTCATTTGCGCTGGCAAAGCAAACGATCATATGGAACTTGTCAATGAACTTCCTTCGTTTGCGCTGGCAAAGCAAACGATCATATGGAACTTGTCAATGAACTTCCTTCGTTTACGCTGGCAAAGCATCCAGCACTGACCTGTAAACAATCAAAGACACTAGAACGAATCCAAGTAAGGGCCTGCAAAATCATCCTGGGTTCACAGTATTCCAGTTACGACACAGCACTTACTACATTGAACCTCAGCTCCCTGGCCGATCGTCGCCGCACAATCTGTAGAACATTTGCAGAATCTCTCTTGAACTCTGACTTTCGTAAATGGCTGCCCCCAGTAAGGCAGAATATCTCTGGTAGAAGCACACGTTCTGCACATAAGTTTGACACTCCGTATTGCCGTACAGAACGGTACAAAAAATCGCCCATTCCCTACATTGTTGAGCTGTTAAACGCTAGTTAAATACAGTTCTTAGCTGCTTTTACTTAAGAGGGCATTGAGTGACTGAGTGCGGCTAGCATTGACCTTTACCTCTACTTGTGTAAATAGGCATTATTATAGCTCCCTACCGAATTTGTGTCATTAACTTGTAAATTATGTAATTTTTAAACTATTAGTGTTGTTTAACGTCAATTTTATGAACTGTAAAAACAACTCAATTCAGACTGTCGTATGCTAGTTGTTTGAATAAAGATTGATTGATTGATTGATTGATTGATTGATTGATTGATTGATTGATTTTGGACGTTTTCTAGTAGCTAGCCGGTAGCTTCCTTCTTTTGCCTGAGCTTGCTTTCTCATTGTCCTCGATAGTTTAATGCTCACCCTTGTACGCTCTCGCCAATGCTAGCTGTTTTTTTATATATTCCAACATTTCATGACCAAACATGGCGACGGCACACTCAAGTTTCATCAACTTCGTTATCTATGCCGCCACCAACACAGAGTACAAATACAGGACAGGACAATACTCATTATCACTTAAGTGAAGAAACGCGTGCCTTTCCCAAGGGCCAAGATCGGTGGCATGTCAGGACTCGAACCTGGGACCTCTTGCTTCCGAGTCGAGCACTCTGCCGCTACCCCACCAACCCCAAAAGATGATGCTAGGTGTTGCAAGCGTTACGCTAACTTCCAATCATCACCAAGGAGAATGAATGTAAAAGCTAGTAACGAGGACGGTACCCAGGCTAGAAAACGTCTAATCTTTGCGATTTTTACGGCTGACGTACCGAGTATGTTCCCCTGGCGGTCGGGAGGGGTACTGCTGGTTCGGCTCAGCTGACGGGTAAAGAAGTCAAACTTCTGAAACCGTGCCAAGATTTACAAAAGCATTGTAGCGTAAATCTGTAAATATCTCTAAAAGCCCAAAGACAAGCTTTTCCTATATCTACTGTATATGTGTACAGTATCATTCAAAGGTCATACAATGGTCATCATGATATAACCAACGTCTAGGTGAATTATAGGTCAGATTTTATGTTATTTGTCCACCCACGTTGAAAGGGTTAATAAGTAATGCACAGTTAACACATACATTTTACACGTTCGTGGCACAAGCGGAATTCGTATGCTCGTGACTGACAGTGTTTACCGATGACGCTAACCTTAAAGTTGACTCTCAAGTAACCAATCAATTTTGTTGCATAACACTTGTATAACACGTACTACTGGGCATGTGTAGAAGATGGATGGAGGGTGAACTATCCTAAAAAACAACATACGTAATGCGACGGTACACTAGTATACTAACTAGTGTGAAATATCCAGAGAATGTACTTGGTGTAATGCATAGAAACGTCGTTGAGATTTTCAGCAAGAAAAGAATAAACAACACTTATATTCTATCTCAAGGTGTAATTTCACAGGTTCAGCTTTCCTGAACTAGTATCTCCATATTTTCGCACCCCATTCTATAGCCATTTCTGATTATTTCCTGACCAACGTCCCCAAATGTTCAAGTACCATAATTAAGTACGGTTATCCAAAACCCGATACGTAGATATATTCGTGGAAGCATAACTTGTTCCTTGAGTGGCATACTCATTGTCTCGCTTTTTCCAGGCTTGGTTTCAAGGGTTTATGTCTGAATGAAAATTTACACAACTTGGAACTGAGCCTGTTGGTTGGAGGAGAGACTCGTGCGCCTTCAGTGAAAAACACACACGTACATTCAGCTGACTCATGTCTGCTCTACATACTTGTGTACCCTTGGAAACTACACGGCCAAAGGTCGTATTCACAACGCCATTCTCTAGTAAGGTCGCAAAAAGGGGAGGTTGCTTGAAAGCAGAGGGGGCACATCTGGTGGCTTAGGACATGTCTTCACGCAGACGGCTTTCCTCCAGAGCGGGAAAACGCGACCGCAGAAATGTTATCGTGGTCGGGGCGGGCCTCAGTGGTGAGTAGATATCGTCTGAACCTGGCCAATACCACAGAGAGGGGTGGGGAGGGCGGCGTTTGCAAAATAGCTCCCACTGGCGCCCGGTTGAAAAGTACACACGCCGTCTAATCTCTGTTTACCTATCAGCCATAAAGGGGGGATTGTACCTGGATGTTAAGTGCCTTGTCATAAACTACCACTGTGCTGTAGTTGTTTTTGGCGACATTTTTGTAGTCTTTGCGGCTGAAAAATGGTACAGTGTGGCAAAACGGAGTGTATAGTTAGTCGTTAGCCGTTAGTTAGCCAGTCCTTCAACTAGCAACTTTATTGAAATTCTCTGAGGTTTTCTCAGCAAATTATTCACCTTTCGATGAAATTTCTATAGGCATATATAAACTGATAAGTTTATTTGAGGCCAGAAATTGTTGCCATAATCAAGTTACTCCTCAGGACAGCACGTTAGGGCTTGCTAACGGTATAACTGTCGTTCACAGAGGCTATTGTAAGTTTCATAGTTTACGTAGTGGCTGTACAACAACAATGAGAACAACGGGTAAATACGTCATTGTACGTGAGATTATATAATGGCCTACAGTTACTTAGTATTCAAAAGCATATGCTTCTATTTATCTTACCAAAACGATATCGATGCACTGTACACATCTAATGTGCTATTCGATGATAGTTTAAAGGGTAAACATAATATCAATGTATTGTAATCGTAAATACTGGAGGGTAGGGGATTATTGTTAATTTTCATGTTAAAAGCCATTCATATTTTACGCTGTTTGTCTTGTGTCAATCATTTTTGTTAGTACTAGTACTTTAACGTTGCAGCTTTTACAAGTTTCGTGGAAACGTCAGAAATCCATATCTAGTTTCCTGTTATTTGCCACTTCACGTTTGTGCAAGCTTAGACCTCCAAATATATCAACCAGACAAGGTCGTGACAAGGTTTGTTTTCCAACGACATGTCTTCAATTTGACATTTCACCCTGGCTGCCCTCTTAGCCTGAAACAAAGAGAAATTTCGCTTATCTCCAAGCAGATCATACGGTGGCAAGGCAGTATCCATTGGCCAGAGGAGTGCATGTCTTCGCCACTTCGAATTCGGTGGCTAATGGATACTACGTATACGTTGCCACCGTATGATCTGCTTGGAGATTAAAGTTTCACCAGCTCGATAAATCGGACCATATAAAAGGTGAAACGTAAGCTAAAAACCACATAGAGGGTTAGAAACCTGTAGAAACCTTTTTTCGATATTCGATCCAGATAGAATTGTTTGTTTGCCTACATAATTTGATTTATCATACATGTATGGACAAGGTCCCATTCTTTTGTACCTGGTGTGAAGAAGGTCAACACCATCATATATGCTGCCATTTTTCCAACATAATTAACGTTATACATATTCAAGGTCTGACGCCAAAGGCTAGCCCCTTTGGCAAGGACTTCGACAGAAGTTAAAACATCATCTACCGAAGTGGTTACATTGAAATCGTTATTAAACATATCGTCATGCGAATATTGAAGTGAAAGAACAAAGGACTTTATCTCCTACATTCAGCGAGTGTACACATAGAGGTATCATTAATCTCCAAGCAGATGCAATCGTGCAGTGCATGTCGTTAGTAGTGTGCTTTATTCTATTGTGTTGGCCTTGTCTCAAAAAAACGAGATCAAGCATCACGGCGCTTTAACCATGAAAAAAAACACAGATATACATCTACTTGGAGATCAGGTTATAGGGCATGTTAAGTTCTGTTGAGCCTCACCAAAACGGACACCTGTTCGCCGTTTGTTTCTAGGTCTGTCCGCCGCTAAGAAGCTTCACGAGGAAGGTCTGGACGTGGTGATTTTGGAGGCACGGGACAGGGTGGGAGGGCGCACGCTGACATTACGGGTAAGGTAGAAAAGACATCTAGTTTCTAAGGCTAAACATGAGTGGAATTGTGAAAGACCGTAGAAATCCTCCGAATCAGAGAGCAGCGTGAATGACTCCTTAATACTACCCTTCATGATTACCATCACTACTAGCGCCATGCCCGTTGCCAGGATTTTGAAGGGGGGGGGTCTTCCCACTGCATGATGGACCAGCGAGCGCTGTAGGCGCGAGGTTCCTAGGGGGGTCCGCCACCCCGGAAAATTTTGAAAAATTAACCTTTTGAAATGGCATTTCCTGCGTTTTTGAGAGGATTTCAAATAAAAAAATCAGAGATGACCTTTTTTCCATGACAAAGTGAGCAGTTTTTTCTACGATTCCAGCTCCGTTGGTGATACGAATCAGTCCATCTTTCAAAGAAAAATCTTGGACCATTTTAAAAGATAAAAAGTGGACCAAAAAGTGGACCTATGAGCCTTAGGGGGGTCGTCCAAACCCCCTTGGCTACGGGCACGAGCGCTGGTGCTATCTTTCTCATCAATACTTCCACAAGCTGGTCGATATATCGATAGAAAATCAGGTGGGCGCCCCTCACTTGGTTTGGAAAGAAAACTCGCAATTTGATTGAGTACTTAAAAGCTTGTTGTTGTGTTTTTCCGTTCTTCCCCAGAACCCTACGGTGGGGTATGTGGACGTGGGCGGTGCGTACGTGGGTCCGACCCAGGACCGAGTGTTCCGCCTGGCCCGCCAGCTGGGTCTGCAGACGTACCGAGTCAACGAGACAGAGAGGGTCGTCTTCTACACCAAGGTTAGCTAGCCGTGTATAATACTTTCAAGAGGTTGAAGTACACAGAGCTCTATTAGCCTCCGTAGCATGCCAAAAAATGGGGGTTTGGGGGTCTTCAGGGTCTATGGGAGCTTTTATGTGCTATTTCCTGATTGCATATAGACAGCATAGCCGGCCTGGTTGAATTACCCCCGTTTAGAACAGGGCTAATCAGAAAACAGCCGAAGACCACCAAACCCCCAGCTCTATAAGGCTAATCAGAAAACAGCCGAAGACCACCAAACCCCCAGTTCTATAAGGCTAACCAGAAAACAGCTGAAGACCACCCAGTTCTATAAGCCTGCTACGGAGGCTAGAGCTCTATGTGCTTTTCAGCTGAACTTGATACTGACTTCATGATCAGATGTGCGGATGTGGTTGATTGATAACCGCAATCGTTTGCAAGTAAAATTCAGTTCTCACCGACGTTTCGGCTGTTTTCAGCTGACTTTAAGTTTATCTATTGCTGATTATATCATGTTACGTTGTATCTCTCTGTAGGGTGAAAGTCGACCATACCACACCGTATTCCCGCCCATGCGCAACCCACTGGTCCATCTAGACTGCAACAATTTCTTCCGCAAAGTGGACGAATATGGAGACATGGTAGGAATGACTTGTCAAATATTTCAAAACGCCAATTTTTATTCAAAGGATACCACTCAAGCCCTCGTTGATATAAACTTGTGTCCTCGATTTGCTCCTTTCGAAATTTCCTTTTACGTGAACGTTTCGTTGTGGCTTGAGCGTATACACATATGTATTCAAATTAAACTTGTTCCAGATATTTTTTTCTTACCAACGATAACGGCATACTTTAGTAGATTGTCCTACAGGAATTTCTGCTCCTTTTATCAGTCTCGTGATGTGAACTTTGCTGTTGTGTTTTGGATATATTTGTAGAGCCATGGTTACCGGAGGGTGTGGCCGCTACATTAATTCTGATGTAGTGGTCATATAAATACATCCTGAATTATAGAATGTAATTCTCTCCTCAGGAAAACATACAATAGAATAGCTTTGGTAAAAGTTTAATTTAGTATATCTAATATCATTATACTAGTAGATTAGCTCTGTAAGAATTGTACTTTAGTATATATATCTAAACTTGTTGTTTCCTCTTTGCCATGCATTGTACCAGTTACAGTTGCTGTGCAATAAAGTTAATTTGATTTGATTTGAAAACATGATTTTATAACAAGCTCCGAGGCCCCACATTATTTCCCATAGCGGAGCTGTAGAGACAACATTTACAGTGTATTGTTCCTGCAATACTGCCCAGATCCCACAGGAGGCTCCCTGGGACTGTCCCCACGCCCAGGAATGGGACCGCATGACCATGAAGGACTTCTTCGACCAGGTGATCTGGACGGAGGAGACGCGGACCTGGGCGGAGATGTTCGTGCGGCTGAACGTGTGCGCAGAGCCGCACGAGGTCTCCATGCTGTGGTTCCTGTGGTACGTCAGGCAGTGCGGTGGTAAGTCGCCAGGAGGCGCCCATGCTCCACCGTTGAGAAGTTCAAAACCATTTAAAGGTGGAGATACAGAGATATATCTCCAGAGATAATCCAATAGTGTATTTTCCTGTACCTGTGTGTAGTGTTGTGTGCTAGAACGGCCCACAGAAAGAATAGCTACTGTCGAACATATGTATTATGCTAAATGTGGATTCTAATAAAGTCAAGTCCAATAAAAAAACGCATATTTACAATTGTCATTTACCCTGTATTGAGCTCACAGTTGACATGTTCGATCGATCCCCTAGCGACTTACATTGATATGTGCATACTATTAACTCTCTCATCCCCCGACCCCCTCTTATTCCAGGAAGCATGCGCATCACGGCCGTCAGTAACGGCGGCCAGGAGCGGAAGTTCGTGGGAGGCTCGCAGCAGCTCAGCGAAAAGATTGCCGAAATTCTGGGAGGTACGTCACTTCTTCACTCATTTTTTTTTACTCATGCACTCACTCACTCACTCACTCACTCACTTTGTTCGTTTGCTCGTTCGTTTGTTTGTTTTGGCCTTTGTGTGAATCCATGTGATCAGTGTTATTATGACGTTTTATAATTTTTCCAGACCGGATAGATTTCAGCAGCCCGGTTCTGCGAATTGAACAGCGGCGGGACAAAGTCGTGCTGTACACGCAAGACGAGCGGAAACACGAGGTGCGACATGCGTGTGTGACCAACTCTTTACTTTTAATTTTTTTTCCCGGCCTGCATGCCTGTGGCATTGAAAAGATTTGAAGTGAAAACTAAACAATCTTGAAATGAATTAATATTGATTCGGACTACTTACCCAAATTTTCGGCTGACACCGTCAACCCTGTTCACGGAATGGACCCGTCTACTCTTGGAACGTGACAACAGAGACACGTGACCGGATCATACGTGCCAGATAACTTGTGTCGCCCCCCGTCTCTGTTCAGGGTAGCCCTTTAAGCCCTAATGTAGACCGCCTCCTTCACTCATCTTGCAAAGAAATTCTGTATACAGAATCGACGGAGTCAGCCGAAAATTTCCCAACTCCCAATTCATTCCAGCCTTTAGAGATAACGTTTAGTTTTGCTTCATCATGACTTGTACCAACACAGATGAACTTGCTAAACTATTGGATTTTTTCTCTCCCTGCCTAGGCCGAGTACGTGATCCTAGCGATCCCCCCGCCTCTGCTACAGAAGATCGTGTTCTCTCCCGATCTCCCCTCCTCCAAGCTCCAGCTGGTCAAGCGCATGCCCATGGGCTCTGTCGTCAAAACCTTCATGTACTACGAGAGAGCCTTCTGGCGAGAGAACGGTGAGGTGCACATTGTTTTATTTTTGTCTCCTTACACTGATTTAGACAGGTTAAGTGCGGGTCGGCAACATTGTCTGTGAAATTTAAAAACCAAAGCTCCACACCTTTAATTTATCCAATGAAATAATGTATAAGAGAAACCTCAAATTTATCCAGCAACTTCTAGATCTAACCATCCAAGATGGCGGATAATGCTTTACGCCATGGTCACGTGAGAGCAAACGCCCTTGACACGTCTCTCACCCGATACAGATTACTGCGGGTTTGCTGATATTGACGACCCGGCTTACCCTGTGGCCAACACGGTGGACGATACCAAGCCGGACGGAACATATCCTTCTATCATGGGGTAACAAAATGACTTACAGTATATGAAAATTCAAGCTAGGTACTACATGTAGTATCATCCTGAAAACTAACAGTCATCAAAATCACCTTGTATTTTTACTAGTGACGTTGGTACCACGGCATTACATGTATAATTTCATATTTTCGTAGATTTCGTACATTTTGTTCCTTGTCGTCCATTGGTCAACAACATTCTACTTCATTCAGGTTCATCTTGGGAGACAAGTCCAGGGAATTTTCACACCTAACACAAGAGGAAAGGTAATTACTTTCTGATTTTTACCTCAGGCATAAGCCACATTGTCTTATTATCAAAAAAATAGTGTCTTAACTTTTGGCAAGTGTCCTAGATAATGTTATTGATGTAAAGAATAACTGATTGCTTCTATTTTATGTCACAATTCAATTTAGCTAAATCGACAAAGCTGTTTCTTTGTGATAACTTGAAACTGTTTTAACTTTAAGTGTGCGTGAATAAACCATTCTCTCCCTTAACTACTTTCAATAACATCATCGTCTTCTTTTCACCAGGAAGGAAATAATCTGTCAGAGTTACGCCAACGTCTTCAAGTCAGAGAAAGCTCTTCATGTATGTATGACTTTTTTGTTTACACCGGATCTACACCGGATGAACATATTGGTGATCTTCCTCAGTGTGCTTACGTCACGTATATGCAAGGTCACGTGTCCAACGCATTCTGGTCATCCATCCTGAGGAAAACTAGAAATCCAGCCAAAAATTCTGTGGGTCTTTTTTCGTGAGTTGGAAGCAAGTCATAATCATAATGTATATCTAACAGCAAAATCTTCTTTCCCATTCACGTATACACCAGCCTGTTCACTACGTGGAGATGAACTGGAACAAGGAGGAGTGGACAGGCGGGGGATACACGTCCTTCCTCCCGCCGGGCGTACTCACAACATGCGGCAGGTAAACGTCCGGCTTTATATCATATCACACCTTCCATTGAAGGCAATGTTGATTTGAGTAATATATGGGTGACATCTTCTGGGAAAAAAGTTTGGCAAAAAAGTTTGCCTTCATTATGTATGGAATCTACGTGGTCATAAAAGTTGAGCAAATGACATAACACAATGAGTGTAGTAAGGCGAATACTAGCAATACGACATATGATTGCTCATTTTTCAGCTGCTTTAATTGTACGATTTACACAGTATGGTCGAAAATTTACCTCTTTTTTTGGACGGATGAAAATTCATGTACGTGAGGATATTATCCATATTATAATCAAATCAACATGGGATAACTTAGATAAACGATTATTACATAGGACAATGCATATTGCAAAGCATTTCTTAACAGCACAAACTGTTAAAAGGATCCTTAAACTGTTAGTCCCGTCGGCATTATAGTTACCGGTAGCACTATGACCATACTACTTACAGAGAGTTGAGGACGCCGTTTGGGAGGATGTTTTTCGCCGGTACGGAGACGGCAGTGGGCTGGTCAGGCTACATGGAGGGGGCGATACAGGCGGGGGAGAGGGCTGCTGCCGAGGTGGGTATTAGATTGCACAGTGTTGCTCTAGAAAGGGTCTAGAAAGATCTTTTCGCGGATAACTTAAGTGTTTTTTTTTTCATACAATACAGTTTTTCGGGATTCAACAAAGCCAAGGACTAAAATTATATATGCATAAGCTTTATTGGTCGACAATTTTGCATGGTACAATGTGTGGGAGTAAGACAACATTTATTAATTAAGTACACAAATCAGTGGAAAATCAATGGTTCGCAGTTGCCAAATGTGTACTACATACAATGCCGCTCCCCTTATATTGCAGATCCTGTGTCAGATGGGAAGGCTCCAGCCGTCTGAAGTTTGGACCGCAGAACCAGAGAACGAGGTTAGATAGATACATGTACATCTTCATGTCAGTTTATCGCTTGAGGAGGCCTTTCGGATACTAATGAAAACCGTGTCGAATTTTGATCGAGATTTTGCAGGTTGCATAATTGCACTAAACAAGAGGACTAATTTTGACTGTCCCCAGTCACGACGATTGTCATTTGAAAGCTCTCCGTCTCCAAAATCATATAGTTCTGGGAAGTTTTTTTGTGTGTGTACAGTTTAAAGACTGTAAACTTGCATTCCGTAAGCCCGCGTTCTTTTCTCTATTGCAGGACTGCATAGCTCTCCCGTTCGAGAGCTCCCTGACGGAGCGGTACCTCCCGTCTGTCCCGGGCCTGCTGAAGATCCTTCTCGGCGGGTCTCTCCTGAGCGTCACGGCGGTCGGCCTGCTGTGGAAGTTCCGCCACCATCCGAACAACAGCGCCCAGGACGTCCTCCAACACTCCTACCAGCTGCTTCACTCCCTCTCACACCACGCAGCGCCACCTTTGAAAGCGATCGCAGCCGGAATTGCAGACTCGGTCAGGACGGGATTCCCCAGTATAGCCGTGTTCACCTACGTGTATCACTGCGACTATAGACAGCGTGTGCGGCTGGCAAGAAGAGCGAGGATCATGGACAACGGGCAGGCCGAGAAAAACAGGAACGTGGCCAAAACGGCACCGAGAAGCGTGAGGGTTTGGAAAAGGGCAGGATCCAGAAGATGAGGAACCAGTGTTAACTTCAGACTTTACCACGAACGGCACACTACAAATATGGCCAATAGTATATATATCATTTGATTTTCTAATGATATACTATTGCTTATATTTGTAGGCAAAGGGCTAGATGAAAGTACATGGTTAACAGGCTAGCTTGTTAGACGCTTCAGTCATCAGAGAACTACCCAAGGAGGTTCAAAAAGAATTTGAACCTCCTTGGACTACCTTTCTGCATTGAGATTAAATAATGTGCTGCTGAATACAACATTGCATTTTTCTTTTGCATTGTTTACTAGAATCAGCTGTCATTGTATATGTCCTTCAATGGCTTAAGTTAGTTACTACACTGTAGTACCATATTTTTGCTTAGTTTGTACAGGCTTATTTCAAAGCATCATAATGGGAACATTACTACAATGTAGTAAAAGTTAAAACTACATAATAATTTTCATGTAATCCTCTTTCTCTCACCCATTCCAAGGTATCCTCCCTTGACTTTGTATGTCAACAAAACTGAATTTACACTCCAATAAAAAAAATTATCGTGACTGTATCACCATGTATACAGCAAGCATTTTCGTTCATCTCAAAATGTGTCATCGGGTCTCTCTACAGCATAACATCAGATCTACATGTATAAATAAATGCTAATAGAGAGATCAGGTATGTGAACACATGTATACAGGACTGTATAGACACATACATGTCTACATACATAAATACGTAATGCAGTGTTTGAAAAGTTCATCAAACTGCAACAACATAAACAAATATATAACAGGCACATTCTTGTTGGAACTAGAAAAACTTGACTTCTGCAAGTTCATCCTACATGTAGTTGATATGACCAGCCAAACATGATTTGGCTTATACATATTTCATAAACTTTATATCTGTTTCCATTGAACTACTGTACAGTAAAGTTTTTGACAATGACTTACTAGTAAAACACATTGACAGAACAACAACTGTGTTAGACACTTATATTTCATTTGACCGTTTGAGTCCACAAAGTTCCTTTAAATGATTTCTTTTGCAACAGAATATGATTTCTAAAAGATATCTAATGTATACATAATTTAGAGTAACACCATCAGTGCATTGTCACAAGGGGTGTTCGAATCAGAAAAATTGTAAGAGGGGCAGTCAGAATATTTTTTTCTAAATGGGCAGAAACAATAGAAAGTACAAACCAAATAAAAAACTAATACATGTGAAGTAATAATTGAACAGTACTCCTCATTAAACTTATAGAAAGACAGATCAAGAAGTAGGAGAATTTTCTTACTCTCCCCCCCCCCCCTCCACTTTACAAAAAAAGCCAGCTTAAATATATCTTATTCCTCAATTTCTGGCCTTCTTCTTGCCCGACTTTTTGTCCTCCTTCAGCTGTCCTGTGGCCTCCATGTATTCTCTGACAATCTGGTCCTGAGTCTCAGGCGATGCCTGCTGGTATCTACAGTACTCCATCGCATACTCTCCCTTTCCCTGGAAATTAAACATAAAACAGTCTTTTAAGCATCCTTTATTAAACAGTTTATCTGTTTTTATGTTAACCTTCGCAGAAGGAAAACATATTTGTTTTGCTCAGTTTCTTCTTCTATCACATAAGGTCAATGACCTGGACCAGATGTCTGTCACCATGGTAACTGGTGATGCAACAGACACCCTGTAGTACTGGGTTACATTATGTAGCAGGACAGAGCTGGAAGTGCTTCTCACGATAAACATATACATATACAAATGTATATGAATGTGTTTCAGTAAGAATAAACAGAGCAGTGGTTTGTTAGGCTAGACCATGGGAAGGTTAAACAGTATGCATTTGCTTGGCAAACCTTTCTATTTTTCTTATTTCATTGGGATAGCACCTGAAGTTTTCCTGAAGACTGCTTTCCCATGTACATTCAAACAAATGATGCAAAGAACAAAACATAAAAAAATGTCCCTTACCTCTGTGCATGATCTTAGTTCTGATGAATACCCAAACATGTTGTTCAGTGGGACCTACATGGAAGATTAAAACAAATGCAGTATAATATAACTATAAACAACCATACTAAAACTTATCATAACACCAGTGCAATTGCCAGGTGGCCAAGTTTGCCTTGCATTCGGTAGGTTGTGGGTTTGATCCCAGTCATACCAAAGATTTTAAAAATGGTACTTCCTATTTTCTCTGCTTAGCACTCAGCATTGGGTGAGTATTGGCTGCAGGAAGGAACTTAACCTTAACCTTCTATCAGTATAGTGTGTTACGACTGCCTTCAATGACTAACACTTATTACATTTGTACTTACCACACCAGTTTTATCATGTAACTGTCAAAAATTTCTTCTGAAGACATATACAAGAGATAGTTTCAGTACCCACCTCAGTGTACAGTGTAAAATACCCCTCGCTGCCGTCCTGTCCCAGGATCATACCGTGCCGTTTGTTGATCCCTGCGATCACTGGCCCCTGGAACTCATTCGGCGCCGTGACCTCTACCGACATGATCGGCTCCAGAATGACCTTGATGGCGTCTTCCATGGCTGTGAGAAAGGACAGTCACTGTAATTCTGTCCTTTCAGTCGCATTGAAACATATGATTTTATACATGGACTAATAGAACAAGCCAGAACTAAACATAAGCAAGAAAAGTCAGAACTACAGGTAAAGCTCATGACTAAACCTGTGCAACTTCCATTGTGTTATGTTGAAGGTCATACATTTATGAGAAATGAAAGCACATTTGTTCAAGCAGAGTCAAATCCATACACATGCATTTCAGTCTCAACAAGATTAAAAATTGTCTTTGTAAGTTAAGATGTGTTAGGTGTGCCACCTAGCATACATTTCATAAACTGCACGATGAAGGCGACAGTGGTTGTTGAAAATTTGATCCCTGTGTAACCCCTGTGTTGGAATAAAGTTCAACATTTTACGATGATTACTACCAAAACAGATGAACTTTCATGATAAACTGCATGTTCATCGACTGCAATACCATGCCTGACAGCTAGAGGGCCTTACCATCCTTCAGCGCGCCCTCCCCCGCCCGTTGGAAGGAGTAGTCGCTGGAGTCCACGGCATGGTTGGCTCCGTCCTGAAGTCTGAAGCGAACTCCCGCGATCTTCTGTCCTGACAACAGGCCCTTCTCACAGGCCATTCTAAACCCCTAAACACAAACAAACAACAAATTTTATACTCATCCCATACAATCTAGATGACTGTTATGTTATTACTGTATTTTCTTGATTAAAGTATATAGTAAACTTTTCAGAACCAAAAAGGTTTCACAAGTCATTTCCAAAGTTGGGGTGGAAAGTTTATTTTAGTGTCTTCATTTTACATTTCAATCCCGCAGATTTGTTGCACTACGAACTATCACAAGAGACGTGCATTCATGTATGTGCATTTGTATTATTCTTTCATCAAATAGCTGGTGTGTTATGCCAAAAGGCGGTTATACCGGCCGGCTATACAGATACAGATACAGATAATCAAAAAAACATAGTAATTATCTTCTTGATTTTCTATACAAGCAATTATTTTTTTGCTATAAAAATAGACTAGTGACAAGGTAAGACCAGTATATATTTACCCTTTCTACAGCTGGGACATACTGCCTGGGAACATTGGTGCCAACAGTCTCATCTAAAAACTCCACCTTGGTGTAACTGGATGGGGGTAAGGGCTGAAAGATACAACAGAAAAACACCAGCTTAAGTAAAGTAAATCCCCAACAGACAACAGTCCATGAATCTTATACAAATCCAGAGTTCCAGCATAGAAAAGGGACTTCTGATGAACCCCAGTATGCTTGCTGCAGCATATGAGCATTCAGTTCTTTGAAAGCTGTGGGTTTCATATGTAGGGCCACACGTTTAATACTACATGTTGTATATGGGATGCAATGTATGGGAAACAAATGCATGTATATAGATACCTCTAGAACTCCAATGACTCTGCCATACTGTCCTGATCCTCCAGACTGTTTCTTATGCAGAAAGTCAAACCTAGAAAAAAATGAACGCACAGTGTAAGATGTTATAGCCATGGACCTTTTCCAGTTTGGCAACAATTCTAAACTCCTTTCATGTGTATTCTACAATTCCAATTCTATTCAAAATGTCATCTCAGAAGCATTTACAGTTCAGTGTGAATGGTTAAGCTAAAAATTGAATAATTTGTTTAACATACATAAGAACATGACTTACTCAACAGGTGACATGATACTTTCTCTGAAGGCCACTTTAGGTTTCCCCATGATGCACTTGCACTTGTATTCACTAGCCATTCTCTGAAATTAAAACAGATACAGGGGAAGAAGTTAGTAAAGGAGAAAAAAAACTTTAAAAAAACGAAAATGGAACCTGTGCCATTGCTTCTTCACACATACACAATGTACATAAAACAAATAAACAAACACATGTACATACCTGTGCATACACATCCAGATGCAGCTCCCCCATGCCTGATGCTATTGTTTCTTTGCTCTCTTCATCATAGTGCACTCTGAACGTTGGGTCTTCTCTAGTGAACCGAGCAATGCCTTTAGAAAAGTTGTCTAATGATCCCTGTAAAAAACAGATGAGTGCATATACATGACATCAATCAATCAATCAATCAACCAACAAACCAACTGACCAATCATTTGAAAACTACAAAGTACCATGAAAGTTAATCTGTGTTATTGGTAGTTACATGTTTGAAGGTAAAACTTTAATTTGTTTCACAAATCTCACCTAGAGCTTTCGAATAGTCAAACTGGGTCAAAGGTATCTGCTAAACAATGTCGGCTGCCTTCACAGTTGAGTGAAGGGTGATGGGCCCTGATGTCGATTGCCAACATCATTTACCAGATACCTTTGACCCAGTGTTGACATCACACTTCAGAGAAGCCTTGTGACTAGTCTTACTGGGTCAGTCTACTGAGGAAGACCAGAGTAATGCTATCCACTACTGATATTATCACAGCTCCACCCACCTTGTCTTCAGGTTTGATTGACAGAGAGATGACAGCGTCAGGAACATGAATGGATTCCTGGGGGATAAACAAAACAATATGTTACCCAAACATCCAAATTCCACAACATCTTTCCTGTCATGATCAATGGATATACATGTACATGCCACAACAAGTAGCTATAGTATGTAGTAAGTACATAATAGGCACATTTTTGCTATATGTTGAGACAGAATAAGCTTCGAGTTAGTAAATGCATAAGAGGCACATGTATAACATATCTTTACATGAACTGCTGCACTCACCATTGACAGCTGCAGTTTTGCAGAGGACACAAAGGAGTCTCCACTGGAGCAGTCCACACCAAACATGGCACAGATATCTCCTGCATACACCTCTGACACATCCTAACACAGGGGCGATAAAACAATGGATTTAACCCACTTTAACCTAAGAAGGTATGCACAGCAGCTGAACATAGTGTCCCTACATGAGTATGACCCTGCACATTAGGGTCTAGCACATTATACATGTACAATAAACATAATAATCCAATCGTCAAACATATGTCTGTCATACAAGGGTTTAACACTTTATATAAACATAGAAGGGTGAAACACATGATATAAACATAGAGGTGAAACACATTATAAATGTACATAGGAAAAATATTTATCTTTCATTAATGCCTTCATCTATTCCTTTGTTCCTTCAATCATTCACTCACGCTCTTATTCATTCATTCCCTCACTCATTAATTCACTCACTCACTCACTCACTCACTCACTCACTTACTCACTCACTCACTCACTCACTCACTCACTCACTCACTTACTCACTCACTCACTCACTCACTCACTTACTCACTCACTCACTCACTCATTCATCCTTCCTTTATTCTTCCCCACCTCCATCTCGTTGGCGTGCATGCGGACCAGGCGCGGTACTTTGATGCGTTTCCCCGTGCGTACATTATGGATGACATCACCCTTCTTCATGTGACCCTGGTACACACGCATGTAGGTCAGCTGACCAAACCTCCCCGCCTGCGGAGGTCAGGGGTCAAACTTAAGTTTACAAACTGGTAAAGAAATTCTACCTGTACTTTATCAAAATTATGGTGGCCACTTAAAATCATGCATTTATGAAATGAAAATGCTTGTGTTGAATACTTTTCAGTAAAATCCAATAATCAAATAATCACAAAAAAATTATCATTTATGAAATTTGGAACTAATAGAGTCTGTCCAAATTTAATGTCAATCATTGGAGCATGAGTCAAACCTTATCTTTAGAAGTTTTGACTTGTATCTCTATTCATACATGACTCGTAATTCATAGTCTCCACCAGACTCCTTTGTAGGCGGAGTAAATAGTAGAAATCTGCTTCAGAAAGAATGAACTAGTAACTGGCCATGGGAGTTGGCCAGTCATAAAGGGTCCAATTTGCCAGTTACATTCTTTTTTAAGGCCGATTTCTACTATTTATTCAACCTGCAAAGGAGTCTGGTGAAGAGTATAAATTATGAGTCATATACTATATGAATAATTAGATACAAGTTCATGACATATTTCATGAGTTCTGCTACCTTTAAAACCAGACACAGAATTCTGAGAGAACATATTTCAAAGGACAGCTCACCTCAAGTTTAAAAGCCAGGCCCACGAAGGGGTTTGAGGCATCCCTTGCTGGGTCCATCAGTATGCGCTCCTTCTCGCCCTGCGTCTCGTCCAGCGCATAGTTCTGCACCTGGGTGGGGTCCGGCAGGTACGACAGGACGCCGTCCAGCAGGGGCTGGATACCCTTGTTCTTCAGCGCCGTGCCAACGAACACCGGGGTGAACGACCTCGTAATGCACTGTCTCCTGATGGCGGCCTGCAACACAGACAGTAGCAAAGTCATGTTCCTGAATTTAACACTGTTGTTATTGAAAAGCACTGTATGGGGGTTTTAAGAATATAATTTACTGGAAAGCACTATATGAGGGTTTTGAAAACAATTGTTACTAAGAAGCACTGTATGAGCATTTGGCACACCCCAATACACATGGGGGTATTGAAACATTTGATACTGGATAGCACTACATGAAGAAGGTTGATATGGAACAGTGCATTTTGGAATGGGGAGGGAGATGGGGTGAAATCTGCTGCATTTGCTCCCAGCAAATGTCTGCCATTTCAGTTGTTAAATTGCCATTGAATTTTCTTATATTTGCATCACTGGCAGTATAAGAAGGGCTCTGGAAAGAAAAGTAAATTCAAATTTTTGTTTTTGCAAAAGGAGATCCCTGTCCTCCTGATAAACAAACAAACAAACAAACCATTGTTGTTATTTACTTACATGGATCTGTTCCTCTGACGGCACCTCCTCCAGAAGGAACATCTCTCCCAGCTGCTCGTCTACGTTAGACAGGTGTTCAACCAGCTCCTGTCGTCTGTCCTCCACCTGCGCTCGCATGTCACCTGGAACATCCTCATACCGCAGCTGCGCACTGGAAACATGCATGATAATAACTAGTTAACTTTGAGCTCATCTCTATATTGCACAACTGAAATGTACATGTATTATAATGAAAATCAAAAATCATTTTTAACAAGCAATGTATACCGTTTACGGAATACAATTAAATTTCTGTGATTTCTGACATAAATAAATAATTATCATGAGATCTGATTCTAAATAAAGAGTTGTAGTTAGAAATTCCAACTAGCATATTTCCTAGTCGCCAAGCAATTTTTAAACGCCACTCTTGTTAAATCTGCCTTTATTATTCCTTACCCATCAGGACCATCAAAATATATGGCTCTCCTATGGATAAGGTCAACGATCCCTTTAGTTTGGGCCTCCAAGCCAATTGGCAGCTGAACAAACGCAGCATTGTGATTCAACTTGTTTCTGAAACACAATATAAAAAATTGACAAGTTACCAATGATAGTGGCAGCAAGTTGTCTTCACCTAATAGAAGACTGAACATATAACTCAACAGCAATGAGAAGGTAAAAACATCACGACAATACATAACATCTTGTCTCTTGTCTGTTTCATAAATATATGTTATATATATTACATTACCTTGTAGTGTAATCTGAAATTTTTAGGAAACATCTCAACAGGCAAGCAACCATGTTGCTATAGACATGTGCAGTTAACACAGTATATAACTGATAAACAACAATTATTATATAGATTGAGCAGAACCCTTACCTCATCTGGTTCAGAACTCTGTCAGGGTTGGCGCCTTGTCTGCAGGACAGAATAAAATTTCAATCTAAGCAGTCATCATGAAATTCTTGCCTAAAACTATTAAATGGCAAAAAGGCCTCACACCTTCAAAAGTATATGTTACCCTTCAGCCTGCTAAGGTACCAACTTGTAGTTGCTGGGGATAGCCAGCAGGTAGAAGGTACAACTTGTAAGCCACCTGTGTTATGCCATCAGGTGGCTTACAAGGTATAAGATACAAATCAACACAAATACAGTAGACTGACCTGTCTAGCTTGTTGATGAAGCCCAGACATGGAACGTTGTACCGTTTCATCTGTCTGTTGACTGTCAGAGTCTGACTCTGCACCCCTCCCACAGCACACAGAACCAGTACTGCACCATCTAACACTCTCAGGGCTCGCTCCACCTCGATGGTAAAGTCTACATGGCCTGTAGGAAGAAAATAGAAATTCAACATTTTCTCCTCTCACTTTAATGCACATTTCTGCATTTGTCAATGTCATTCTATCTTATTCTGCAACAGCCTAGTGGTTACAATTTGGCATTCTCACCAGTAGGACCCGGGTTTGATTCCCAGTATGGGAAGCAGTGAAACAAACAGGAGCGAGTAGAAACAGGAAAGCCTCTGACTCCCGGGAATCGAACCTGTGCCAAACCCGGACAGCCTTCTTACGATACCAACTTGTTAACGACTATGCCACAAAGTCCAGACCCATAGGAATGGATCAATTAGCGGTGCTTGAACCCCACAGTTATACTAAGTTCATGTGCATCATGTGCATGTTAACTTTCCAAGATCTCCTTTTTTTTCAGCACCAACTTATAAACCACCTCCTTCTATCCC